CTGTAATACAAGTGATAAGAATAGCATTTATTATTTTTGAAACTGCTTGTGCAATGCAGCCACACTGATGTGGTTTAGAAAAATCTAACCAGAAACTTTATATAAAAAAAGAGACTTTGCTATGCCCTAAGTCTTTTTGTAATAGACATCCCTTAATACTTCACATCCAATAAAGAACCTGAAAATTCAGTTTACTGACTCATTCAGTTCTTAAGCAGAAAAATTCCCAAATGAGTAACAGTGTATTAAATAATTTTAAATTGTTTAGACCTTTTTAATAGTTTTCAAATGAACAACACTTTTAGACATTTCAAAAATACATCCTATTTAGTATCCTTAGTTCTACTGTCCTTCATATTAATATTGCACATTTATACCAGATTCTCATTCATACCTGGAGTCTAGTCCTACTGCAGTGAGAATTGACTTTATTGGGAGTTTTGACATTGACTTTAGTAGGAGCAGGTAATGCCCATAATGAGTAAAGGTAGCTTTGAAATATTGCTTTAAAGAGCTCTCTGCAATAGGACTTTATATACTAAAACAAGTTTAGAGTGATAAAAAAACAACTTTAAGTCATTTTTAAAGATATATAAACTTCAAGACCAATCTTCATATAAAAATGTTACGTAATTAGAATACTTCATACTGGTTATGATTTTTTGTTAGATGCCGCAGGTGTCAGAAACCCTGTAAATTAAATCCATGCATTTACAAGCATTTTAAAAAAGGAGTATTAAAGGAATACTGCCAACTAGTTAGCCCTCAGAAGTTCATTTTATCTAGTAGACTTGGGTTTTTTTGCACAAGACTGCTTTAAAGTTAAATTTTCATGTTTGATTTAAAATGAGAAGTGGGTTTTTGATTTGAGCATTACCCCAAACGCTTATAACCCAAACATTGCACTGGTGAAGGATAGTTAGGAAGTGAAAATGACTAGAGTCTATTTTCATTATCCAATTTGAGTGACAAGCAAGTAGTAAACAAAAGGAAAAACAAACCCAAAATTTTCCAGTTCTAGTAGTCTGGGTTGTTTAACTACATAAATAAGGATATTAGTTTCTTTAAATATGATTTTTAACCAAAATATGTATCTTTAAGAAAACACTTGAGGGTATTTTACTCTTTATGTATGATATTTCATCTAGTAACCTCATTTACTTAAGGAAACGTAGTACAATAAAGTTGACCATAAGCAACCTCAATCTTTGCATAACTTCTTTACTAACATTAAACAATAAAAACTTAGTAAAGATACATGCACGTGACACAGATGGTTTATATACTTCCATTCTGCAAAGACATTTTTCAGCACCATTTTCAGCCAAAATATTTGAATAAATTTTACTAATACTCTGTGCCCAAACTGCATCTAAAGGATGTCATGAAAAATGATCTGTATTTTGTATTTTCTATCTTGGCCATAAGCTTCCAAAAATATAGGAAGCAATTTGAGTTCTTTATACAGTCCCACATTTTGCTGAAGAAAAACATACATGATCAAATTTGAACTTAAGAAATATTTTGCTTAGGCTATTTACATTAGCCACACTTTGCAGCTTATATTTCGTTATATCTGACTAAAACACGGGGAGCATGTTCAGGAACCACCCTTAAGAATCTTTTATTATAAAGTACCTGCAGTTTCAGATTTTGCTGAAAACTTATGTTAAGAAATGTGCAACTGAGAAATCTGTGACCCCAGGAAGATGCTGCCAGGGTGCAGACAAGGTTTTACTTCTTTGCAAGTCCCCTATTACTCACATCTCTGAGCTTAAAGCTCCTGTCTCCCTGTGCTATGAAGTTTAAAACGAGCACCAAAGTTGAAGTACTCCAGAAAGAAAGTCAAAGTGATTATCTGCCAAAAGGTAAAAGTAAAATTTAATAAGTACGACTTAACTGCTGCAAAAAGAGCATTGTATTTACATAATGTAAATGTAAGGAGGGGTGAGACAAAAATTACTGTCACAAAAATGTCCTGTAAGAGTTAGATGACCTGGCCATACATATCCTCCAACTGTTCATATGTTCTGCTTTTGTAAAGCAAATAGTGAAACAACTGACTGCCCCTCCAGAAATATCAACCCATGACATAACTCACAAAACAGGCTGTTCACTTTAACAGGTTACAACATGCTGTTAAGATGATATGCAGATACTTTAATTTTTTTAAAATACATAACTCCCCAAAAAAGGATCAGGTTACAAAGACTTATCATAAAGAGCAAACTCTGCTTTTTTAAAATCAAGATACAGACTGCTTCTGCAGACTCCATGTAGATCAAGCAAAACCAGGATGAAAATCCCCTTCCATGTTGTGTTTTCTGCAAACACATTACCTAGTTAAAATGTTACAAGAGTACATACCCACACTGCAGCACATAAAAAGCTTCAAACCAGTATGTTCAAATGAAAAAAAAATATATTTTTTTTTACAAACTTCAACTAAATAATTTTTTTTAGGAAGAGTAAGCCTATGGCAAACATGAACATATGCATGTAATACCCGTAACAGTGTACATTAAATGCTGTATACATCGCATGTAAACATTTGTGCATTCATGCACACACACGATACATATACAAATATTACAAGTATGTGTGGTCAATACACAAGTGATTTCACAATACCTAATTAACTCATTGCTACCCAAAGATCAATAGCTTAATAGGATTTAAATAAAGATCAGAAATTTACAAGGCTAGATATATTTGAAAAAAAATGAGGGTTGGGTTTTGTTTTATGCTGTGAACGGGAAGGATGTAAACCCCAATGCTTCAAAGGACAGCTGAACACTAACTCCTCTACAAACAGGTTATCCGCTACAGGGTTTCTTGCATCTTCTACTGTCAATGACAAAATACTAGAGTGGATGGACCATTGGTCTGATCCAGCATGATAATTAATATATGTATAAATTTCCTTTTATATATTCCATCTATTCCATAGGTACAACTCGCTTGAAGCACTGAAACTAATCATTCTGAGAACCAGTCACCAGCAGCAGCCACCACAGACAAAGCTAAGGAACTATTAAAGGTGAAACCTGGTCTGGGTCTAAAAAAGGTACATACTCCTTCTTCATGAAAAATATTATAGTGCCTGTTCTCTGCAGGAGAGGTAGAAGTGTATGTGATCCCAACGTGTGGATACAATACTGGGTGGTTATGTGGGCTTCAAGAGGTACAGGTGTATGTGCCCTTGTGTGTATGAGTGGGTAAGTATGCAGGTGATGTACATAACCCCAAATGTGTGTAGGTACAGACTGATCCGCTCTAAACCAGCACTCCCTGGTCTGGCAACATCTGTGGTCCGGCATAGGTACCGACTCAGTGGGTGCTCCAGGGCTGGAGCACCCACGGGGAAAAATGACTGGGTGCGGAGCATTCACGGTCACCAAGCTCCCTCCTTCTCACACACCAGCGGCCCTGTACTTACCAACTCCTCCTCCTCCGTCCCAGCCCTTCTGGAGCACCGCGAACACCTGATTCGCAGCATGTAAGCTCCGGGTGGGAGGGGGAAGACCTGGGGCCGGTGGCTGGGACCCCGGGCAGGCATCAAAGCCCCCGGGTGGGGAGCCATGCTGGGTGCAAAGCCTGGGGGTGCTGCCTATGGAGACCCGTGCCAATGGAGACCCACTGGCACCCTACTTCCTGTGCCTATGGAGACCCACCCACACCCTACATTGATCTCCCATAGTTCAGAAAATTCCCTGGTTCAGCACCAGTCAGGTCACAAGGGTGCCGGACTAGAGAGGTTCAACCTGTATTTACGTCCCCCAGCAGCAGGAGTCTATGTGGGTGGGTAGTCACCCACTCCCCACCAGCTGCAGCACCACTACACAACCAACTTCACTGGGCATATGCAAGAGTGTGAATAGGTAGCCCAAATGTATGGGGTGTGAAAAGGTAGCCCAAATGTATGGTGGGGGCAGGAATATGAAGGGTTTGTGGAATATATCCCCATACTAAGAGATGAATTACTGGTTTGCATAGAGGCTACGTGGAGGAAATGGGTATAAGCCCCCGTGTGGGTTGTGGATGTATGACTACCCTCTGGGGTAGTGCATAGCGTGGGGGGGCCTGCCCCCTGGATGGATGGCTGTCAAGGGACTGGAGGTGCATGTAGGGGTGGGTACATGCAAAGAGTGGGTTGCAGCTGTCCCCAGGGGGTGCATGCAGAAGGTACCTGTCTTAGAAGGGTGCATGGGGGGAGACCTCAGTAGGTATGAGGAGTGCAGGTGGCACATGGGGGGGGTGCCGTTCCCGGGGGGGGGGGAGGGGTGCCCCCCGGGGGGAGTGGGGGTGCCCGTCCCCGGGCGGAGTGGGGGGCGCCGGGAGAAGGAGGAGTGGGGGGTACACGCCGGGAGAAGGAGGAGTGGGGGGTGCCCGTCCCCGGGCGGAGTGGGGGTGCCCGTCCCCGGGCGGAGTGGGGGGTACACGCCGGGAGAAGGAGGAGTGGGGGGTGCCCGTCCCCCGGGCGGAGTGGGGGGTGCCCGTCCCCGGGCGGAGTGGGGGGTACACGCCGGGAGAAGGAGGAGTGAGGGGTGCCCGTCCCCGGGCGGAGTGGGGGTGCCCGCCCGGGGAGGAGGAGTGGGGGGTGCACGTCCCCGGGAGGGAGGAGTGGGGGTGCCCGTCCCCGGGCGGAGTGGGGGGTACACGCCGGGAGAAGGAGGAGTGAGGCGTGCCCGTCCCCGGGCGGAGTGGGGGGTACACGCCGGGAGAAGGAGGAGTGGGGGGTGCCCGTCCCCGGGCGGAGTGGGGGGTACACGCCGGGAGAAGGAGGAGTGAGGGGTGCCCGTCCCCGGGCAGAGTGGGGGGTACACGCCGGGAGAAGGAGGAGTGAGGGGTGCCCGTCCCCGGGCGGAGTGGGGGGTGCCCGTCCCCGGGCGGAGTGGGGGGTACACGCCGGGAGAAGGAGGAGTGAGGGGTGCCCGTCCCCGGGCGGAGTGGGGGGTACACGCAGGGGGTGCCTGGGGGGATGCCCGCCCCCGGCTCACCTGCCCGCACGGTGTCGGAGAGGTCGTGGCCGGGCGCGCCCCGCGGGAACTCCTTCAGCTTCCTGGCGCTCAGGCTGAGCCCCCCGGAGTGCGCCGCCTCCTCCAGCGCCCGCTCCAACGCGCGGCTCAGCGGCAGGTTGTAGCCGAGCGAGCCGCCGCCCCCGCCGAGGTGCTGGGGGTGCAGCGCCCCGGCCGCCGCCAGGCCAGCGGGGAAAGCCGGAGACTCGCCTCCCAGCGTCGCCATCTTCCCGGCCTGGCCGCGGCTCGCTGGGCGCGCGGGGGCCGCTGGGGAGCGGGACCGGCCCGCGGTGCTGCCGGGGCGGCAGGGGGCCGGCAGGGCGCAGCACGGCGCGGAGGCAGCGGCCGGGACGAGGGCTCCTTCTCCGCTTGCCAGGCGGCGCCGGCCCAGCGCGCATGTCCCGCCGGCTGCCCCCGCCTCCGGGCCCGGCTCAGGCAGCGCCGCGGCGGCCCAGCGCCACCTGCCGGCCGCAGCCCGGCGAGCCTGCTCCGAGAGCCCGCAGCGCGGCCCGCCTGCCGACCTCCCCTGTGGCGTCCTGCCCGCCTCAGGAAGCGCCCCCTCATTAACCCCCGCGTTACATGGAAACCCGCTCCTGTGACTCGTCTGAGCGCCGGAGTTCAGCGCAGCCCGGGCGGGGAGCTGCCTCCAAAGCGGCTTCTCTGCACCCCTGTGCAAGCGTTCAGCCCTGTGGCTCCCCACCCACCGAAACCGTCAGGCCACCTGCCACCCCTCTGACCTGTGCCTGACAGGCAGTACAGGAGTTGTGCCTAGCACGGGGAGGGTCACTCTGAACAAAGGAGATTTGCGGGCAGGGGTAATCACTTATTTTTTTGTCAAGGTCCAAATTTCTTGGTCAAGGTATTGTCGAGGTCCGGGCTCCAGAGAAAATAATACAAAAACAATAATAATTGTAAGTAAGTAGAAAGAGCTCTCACTCATTCAGAAGCATCTGATGGTCCAGATTTGGCCTACAGTCTGCCTATTGACTCACCCTGATTTAGTGTGTTTCACTAAAGCACAGCAAACATCCTGCTCAGCCGGGGAAGAAACTTGAACATCTCTAAGGGCAAATCTACACTACAAAATTAGGTTTATCTAAGTTATGTCAATGTGCAGTAATTGACTCGCTTTTGCCTGTCCAGGCTACACTCCTTGTGCCAGCACTTGCACTGATTTAGCAGTCAATGGAGGGCATTGTGGGAAAGGCAGCAAGTCAACGTAAGCAACGCCATGTCTACATTGACACTGTCGCTCTAACTACATTGCCCTAAGTGCTACGCCTGTCGTGGAAGTGGAGTAATAGAGGCCCAATGCGCACCAAAAAATTGGATCAACCTAGCTACATCACTCAAGAATATGAAAAATGCCATGCCCAATGCAACATAGCTAAGTCAACTTAACCCCTGCAAACAGAGTTGGCTGGCAGAATTGTCCACTGCCTCTCACAGATTACTTACTTCAATGCGGGGAAGCCTTCTGGAAATGTAAGAAATATCTATGCCCCAGCAGCACCACTGCAGCACTGTAAGTATGCCATTGTAGGTGCTGTAGCGTAGACGTGCCCAGAATCAAAACAGTTTAAAGCCAGAAGCTGAGACCACCAGATCATCTAGTCTGGCCTCCTGGCAGTCTAAGACCAGACGGGACCACCTCCTGGGTCAGACCAGCACCACCCAGTATCTGCACACTAATCCTAACAATCAAAATTAGGCCAAAGCATTACAGCCCACAGAAGACTACACTATTATGTGCCATAGGTAGAGAATGACTCCACAAGGAAAGAATAGCAGTCCATTCCTCCAAAATAAGGAAGACTTAGGTTTGCTTCAGTAAGTAATAGTTACAAAAACATAAATACCAAGTTTGTTAGTTAATAAAACCTAAGCATGAAAAAGCATGGCAGTGATCATCAGTGTGGTTCTCATTGATAACACTTTTCATTCAAGTGACTACACTTAATCTTTTAAAAATGTAGACGTTTATACGATCATCATTGCAGGGGACTGGGGTAACAGCAGCAGCTGTTTAAAAAGGCAGCAGCAGCATGGAGAGGGATGCTATGTACGCTAGATAGCTTCTCAAAAGGGAGCACTGAGGAACTTTGAGAACACTATTTTTAGGAAGTGCTTGATGAGAGAGGATTGTGTATGTGGAAGAAGGAATAAAGCCTAAAAGTTGAACTGGCATCTGTGTACAGCAGAAATGGTTCCTCAAAATCAGGGCTGGTTAGGACAAGTTGTTTAGATAAGGCCTCTTTAATGCTCTGAAAGCCATTTTCACAGGCCTTTGTCCATATCACCTTTTCTAACCTTCCCTTCTTAGTAAAGTCTGTTATTGGAGCAACAATGTTGCTAAACCTCTTTACAAATCTCCTATAGTAGTTGGCTAGGCCAATAAAGGATTGGACTTGTTTTGTTGTTTTAGAGACAGGCCAGCTTTTTAAAGTTTCTACTTTTGAGGGTTCAGGGCTAACCAACACGTTGCCCACCCTGTGTCCCAAGTATGACACCTCTGAGACTCCCATCTTACATTTAGAAACCTTAAAAGTTAAGGTTAGCCTCTCAAAGCCTTTGCAACATAATTCCCACATGGTTTATGTGGTCTTGCCAAAAACCGCTGAAGATAGCTAGATCATCTATGTTCGCCCTGGCAAAAGATTCCAAACCCTGTAGGACTTCATTTATAAGCCCCATGAATGTGGCTCCTGAATTTTGCTATTCAAACAGTAAGACTTTGAATTCATACAGGCCAGACTCCACTATGAAAACAGATTTTTCTTGGCAGTCAGTATCAAAGGGAAACTCCCAGTACCCTCAAGTTAAATCCAGGTTTCAGAGTAGCAGCCATGTTAGTCTGTATTTGCAAAAAGAAAAGGCGTACTAGTGGCACCTTAGAGACTAACCAATTTATTTGAGCATAAGCTTTCGTGAGCTACAGCTCACTTCATCGGATGCATTCAGTGGAAAATACAGTGAGGAGATTTATATACACACAGAACATGAAAAAATGGGTGTTATCATACACACTGTAAGGAGAGTGATCACTTAAGATAAACTATTACCAGCAGGAGAGCCGGGGGAGGGGAGAAAACCTTTTGTAGTGATAATCAAAGTGGGCCATTTCCAGCAGTTGACAGGAACGTCCGAGGAGCAGTGGGGGGTGGGAGAAACATGGGGAAATAGTTTTACTTTGTGTAATGACACATCCACTCCCAGTCTCTATTCAAGCCTAAGTTAATTGTATCCAGTTTGCAAATTAATTCCAATTCAGCAGTTTCTTGTTGGAGTCTGTTTTTGAAGTTTTTTTGAAGGATTGCGATTTTTAGGTCTGTAATTGAGTGTCCAGGGAGGTTGAAGTGTTCTCCGACTGGTTTTTGAATGTTATAATTCTTGAAGTCTGATTTGTGTCCATTTATTCTTTTGCGTAGAGACTGTCCGGTTTGGGCAATGTACATGGCAGAGGGGCATTGCTGGCACATCATGGCATATATTACATTGGTAGACGTGCAGGTGAACGAGCCCCTGATGGCGTGGCTAATGTGATTAGGTCCTATGATGATGTCCTTTAAATAGATATGTGGACAGAGTTGGCAATGTACTTTGTTGCAAGGATAGGTTCCTGGGTTAGTGTTTTTGTTATGTGGTGTGTGGTTGCTGGTGAGTATTTGCTTCAGGTTGGGGGGCTGTCTGTAGGCAAGGACTGGCCTGTCTCCCAAGATTTGTGAGAGTGATGGGTCGTCCTTCAGGATAGGTTGTACATCCTTGATGATGCGTCGGAGAGGGCTTAATAGTTGGGGGCTGAAGGTGATGGCTACTCCTTTTCTTTTTAAGTTAAATCCAGTGTGCTTATGAACTTCACTACACACACACAAACCCCAGTGTATCTAGCAAATCTTCTATTCTGGGCATGGGGTAAGGGTCAGGTTGTGTGATAGCATTCAGCGGCCTATAATCCATGCAAAACCTCATGATTTTGTCCTTTTTGAGTACCATAACAATAGGGGGTGTCTATGGGCTTTTAGATCTAGTAACTGTTCCCATGGATAACATGCTTTCTTCCTTTTCCTCCTCTTGAATCTGCTTTTGCATTTCTCCCTTAGCTCTGTATGCTCTGCTAGGAGCTTGGCGGGGACCTGTGGTTTGAATGGAGTGCATTAGTATGTCATTGTGTTCTGGCTGGTTTGAGAATATTTGCCTGTGGTGCCTCCATGAAGCTAATATCTCATTCTTTTGGGCTGGAGTTAAACCCTCTCCCATTTCAGTGGTTTCCAGCTGTGATTCCTCTCTGCAACCATATCGACAAAAGGCATAGACTAAGTCTCTTCCTCAGCACAGCAAATCATGTTTACAGCTATCTCCCTCTTCTGGTAAGCCTTCAACCTATTAGTATGCGTTATTTGCATATCCTCTTCACATTACATGTAACTTCATTAATTCTCTCCACTACCTCATAAAGTCCATTCCAAATATCTTGCATCTTATTCCTTCTCACAGGATCTAGTGTAAGCACCACATCTCCAATTTCAAATGCTCTTTCCTCAGTATGACTAATAGACAAAGCCTTCCGAGCTTCCTGACTTCTCTCAAGATTCTGCTGAACCAGATCCATCATGCCTTGCAAGCTTTCTTTGCATTGTGACAGATATCACTGGCTCTTCTGTCACCTCAGTCATGAATCAGATATAGGGGTCCACTGACCTGCCTCCAATAAAGTAGCTCAAAGGGAGCAAATCCTGTAGATTCTTGGGGTACACTTCTATATGCACACAAATATGACACCCAGACCTCCCAGTCATTCTGGCACCTGTCGACATACATTTTTAGCATAGCCTTCAATGTTCCATTAAACCTTTTTATCAAACCATGGGTCTCTGGCTGGTAAGGGACAGCTTTTAGGCACTTTACTCCACACATCTCCCATAGCTGCTTAAATACAATCAACATAAAATTGGCACCACAGTCTAACAAATTTCCTTGGGAAAACCCACTATGTTAAAATAGGTTTCAGGGTAACAGCCGTGTTAGTCTGTATTCGCAAAAAGAAAAGGAGTACTTGTGGCACCTTAGAGACTAACCAATTTATTTGAGCATAAGCTTTCGTGAGCTACAGCTCACTTCATCGGATGCATACTGTGGAAAATACAGAAGATGTTTTTATATACACAAACCATGAAAAAATGGGTGTTTATCACTACAAAAGGTTTTTTCTCCCCCCACCCTATTCTCCTGCTGGTAATAGCTTATCTAAAGTGATCACTCTCCTTGGAGAGTGATCACTTTAGATAAGCTATTACCAACAGGAGAGTGGGTTTGGTTTTTTTTGGGGGGGTGGGGGAGAAAACCTGGATTTGTGCTGGAAATGGCCCACCTTGATTA